AAACAACTCTAACATGTCAGACAGCAGCAGCTTGCTTTAGCAATGTCGTGTTTCTGAAAATTTTAGGCATAAGATTTCTTTTAAATGCATAGATAAGGTTGGATACATTTTAAGTTCAAAGACATCAAAATTTGTTTTGATTGGTAAAATCTAAAACAGTCTTCCAAATGTTACTGCAACCAGTACAAGGTCATATGAACAGATATTACCTTTAGCCTGAAGTACATCACGGTGATGATGCAACCATACAGCAGTGTCAGAATGACTAAACCAGTCAAAACCCAGCTGAGTTGATATAGCGATGGAGACAAATTAGGATGAAAAGTAGAAGGAGGAGAAGGATAGGATGTCTCTATTTTCTTTGAAACTAAGATTAAAAAAAACAAAAGATCAATTTGTTAGTCAAAAAAGCTATTAATGTGACTGAGCTGTGCCATTTGATTGTTGTTATCCTAACAAATGTGTGTTTTAGGAGTCATTTTTTATATACAGACATGTCAGGCATGTAGGCACTCAGTAAGGATAGGAATCAAGAACAGGTTCTTGTAGAGGACTGGCTTCCAGTGGTCTAATTCTTTGGAATCATCTACTTACGTAACCTTTATTTGTTACTGGATTTGTAAATTTCATCAATTCCCATTCCTAGCTCTCGGTCATTTTGGTCATTTTATCGTAATCAGTTGTGTAGGTTTCGTAGAGAGGAACCAATACAATCCAATAATTTTTTACTTAACTGCTTCAGATTGAAAGTGCATCTATCAAGAACAATACTTTCTAGGATTTATAAACATTAGCTACATACCAAAGGGTGTTCTTGCTTGGTTGGTCTTATGTAGACCGTTCACAGACACTGTGAACTCACACTCATATGCCACATCCATGTCCTCGGGCCTGATGTGATGCAAGACGAATAGGAACATTTCGGGATTCTCTTTGAACATGAAAATGTTGTTGCATTTCTCCATTCCCTTCTGACAAATTAATTTCTTTTTCCCATCCCTGAGTGGAGACAAAGGAAATATTAGACAGAGTAGAGAAGGGGTCTCCAACCTTTTTAAAACTTAGAGCTACAGTACTTCAAGGGCACTCAGTGCGTAATTCGAAGAGCTACTTGTTTAATACAGACTTCCCAAACAATGTAATAATAATAAATTCTAGGACATACAATGGTGAATACTCTTCTTACCATTGCCATTGCACCTATAAGTGTAACTGATTAAAAAAGCACAGTAACAGTACAATTTTTTACCCTCTTGTTGATTAGTTTTAATCTAATCAAAAATATGTTTTTTCTAATATGTTTTTTTAACATATCCCACGGGCACCTTATGTAGTCCACAGGGACTACCAGGTTGCCCCGGGCACCACGTTGGTGACCCCTGGAGTTTAGAGTAAAAAAACAGATTGCCCTCAGGATACGTACTTGCATATTCTGTAGAGTCGCACGTCTATAATGCTTTGAGGGGCTGCAGTGTAACTACAGTTGATGATAGCAGTGTCATTCATGGTCAGAATCGCCTCAATACCTGGAGTATAAATTCAAAAATGTCACATATTTATTAAATCTAAAACAATCATTTATTGTCCTGTAACTCACACACCAAACACATTTATTTTGTCATTTAGAAATTAAAGTACAGATTATAATGGCTGCCGTTGGTGCCTCTATTTTATCTTTTTTGGGTTTTTTTTTAATGATACTTTTCATGGAGCAAAGTGCTGGTTTGTTTAGACACAGATGTTGACTTTCAAAGGGTTCGTCTTTGTCTTTGGCTGCAAGGACTGAACCTTTTCACTGAGCCTCCAAAGTGTTTCCTGTGGTGAAACTACTACTAGTAACTCATAGGTAGTAGTTGATGCTAAGTTATAAGTAAAGACATTACTTAAAAAGTAAAAGCAGCTACAAATGCATGTCAAACAGTAATGATGGATGGCTTTGTCAGTCGTAATGTTGGCTGTAGACCATATTAGTACAAGAAAGTAAATCCTACCATGACACTGGCAGATATAGAAGCACAGATAAAGTGTAACTGTGAAAAAGGCGATGAAGTTATTAAGGCTTTGTCTCGTCATCTCTGCACCAGCTTTAATTGTCCTTGGCAGAAAGAAAAATCACAAATTAAAAGGTTGTCAAAGAACGTTGGAGAAAGCTGAGTCTGTCTAATGATGATCTCCTGATGAATGTACCTTTTCATACCAAGCTATCAGATTTCAACAGCAACAACTCTGTTTGGTTTTTTGACTTCCTCGCTCAGGCTGATGTAATTTCCTATAGTGTCCTTACCAAGAAACACCTTACAAGCAGCAACAGTCAAACCTGACAAACTCATGTTACCTTAGCGCAATGATAAGGCAACAGTTAAACTAGTGAATATGTTCTATATATTCTGCATTTAGGTCTAATCATTTTTTGCAAGTACTGTTTCCATCAGAGAATTCTGGCCTTGTATAATCCAAGAGCATGTCCTTCACAGAAGGCCACGGCCCGACTTTTGTAGCAGAACAAAGGCCAAGCAATACTGAAAGATTACAGACTTCATAATATAATAAGAGGTTCCTGAAGTAGTAGGAAATCTGTTGACATGTTTGGGTCCAGAGGTTGCAAGGATGTGTGGCAGCTTATTATTTTGCACTGATCTTTCCTTGAGAATTTTCCTTGAGAGTTTTTTAGATAAACTAAATGAAATAAGTACTAGAGCCAAACTGTTAAGTAATTATTTTGTATTGAAGAAGAAATTAAAGTAAAAAAATCCAGCCCGAAACAGGAAGAACGATGTAGTAGAAGAATATGATGTAGTTAAAATACGGTCAATTAAGTGATGTATAAATGTAAAAACTAAACATTACATAACACAGGAAATAAAATGTATGCAAATTCAAACTATTACTCTAAATATGTTAACATAGTTTTGAAATTCAATTTTTGGATGCATTGTATAACATAAGATGATGATTATTCTATTGTGTAAACAGCTGAATAAGTGATATAAATAAAGCTTTGAAACAGTATGGTAGTAAAACAAAAACACCTGCAAAGAACAAACTGATTTAGCAAAAGCAACTTGTAAGACGGAACTGATTGATGAAGATAGTCAGACTGACAGACATAACAAAGTGTGAAATGTGATAGCCTGGCTATCACTTTATTTTATCTGAGAAAACCTTTAAGAGAAGAGTTGGGATTTTTTGTATAGGGTCAGTTATAATTTTTCCATCCATCTATCCATTTTCATCTGCTTATTTGTTACCTGATCATTGCCTCTGTTTAAGTTATTTATTTTTTATTTTGTTGTATTATTTAATTTAATTATTTAAACAGCTTGGGTGAATTTGAATTATCTGCGTGTTTTTTTCTTCTTCCTGCAGATTAAATTAATGACTATATTAACTTAGACTTGACTTAATATGAGACTTGATTGACATTTACCAAAGGAAAATGACTTGGGATTTACTGGAGACTTGAAGGTTAGGACTTAATACTTAGATATTAGAGCCTTGACTGTTGGTTTATGACTTTTTTATTTCTTCTTTTTTAAACAGTAACTAGACCTAAATAGTAAATAAAATCACATAATTAATCACTTATCTGCCTGTGTAAAATTACTAAGTAAGGATTTTGTGTTAAAAAGAAGAGCACATAACACAATTTGTTTTCACCTTACCCATTTATCATTAATGGAATCATTCTCTTGCTTTGAGACCAGCAGTGAGTGTCGTCAGAGGTGTTAAAACCACATCCTGTTTTCAATGGTTAGCACTTCAGTGAAAAGCCTAGATGAATGATAATGGCTTCAAGACAAGAATCTATAAAGTCTATATGGTCATCAGTAACTCTACTCTCTGACTGGTCTACCTTTAGATTTGTGTATACTAAAACAATCTTTACGAAATGTTGTTTTCATGTTTATGTTTCCATTCACACACTCACCTGACCATTAGTCCATGTGAAGCAAGTATGTCAATTTTAGCCTCACATGAGCATGAGCTACATTGTGATGTTACGTGAGATGCAACTGTTGTATAGCTATGGTAAAATACAGAAAGTAATATCTGGTGGTCCACTGGGATTAATTCTTAGTCTCTTCAACAAAACTTGCTCTTTTAACAACATTATGAGGATATGTTGTGCATGGTTTTCTTCTAGTACTTACCAGTTTTGACATTGTTATAGGCTTCATTCAAAAATACATTTAAAAGTAGTGTTTTCAAAAAGTACTGTTGAATATGAGGCAACACATGTGCAATAACAATTAGTTTGCAAAAACACAACTTAAATTTTAAAAGGATTTGTCTATATAAAAGCACAGTATATTTTACTATTAAACTGTTGATATGAGTAATGTCAATCTTAGGCCTACCCTAAATTGTAACTCTAAGGGTGCACTCACACTTGGCCCATTGTACCGGGCCCAAGAACAGTTACCCCCTAAAAGGACCCAAATATCCCTAATGGCGCCTGTGGGTTTCAACTACGTACTAAATAGCGCCTCCTGTGGCACCCTGTGTCAGTTGCAGACTCACTCTTCGTCAATCAATGTCAACGTGTTGGAAGTAACACAGTGACACGGGTCATCATATTCTTCTGTTTTTTTCCATAGTATGCAGATTATCACAAAGTACTAACTGCAGTACTTTTGCATCTCTAGTTATTGTTATTGAGGCTTTCTCGTTTGCACGGACACACTTGATGTTGACATGTTGAGCTCATCAACAGCAGAGATATATGGTAAATGAGTCATCTTCTGTTTCGTCCTCTTTCAAGTAAATATCAGAGATTAAGGCTCAAGATTATTTTTGCAGTTGAATTCCACTACGTTTGCAGCAGCAATGCTCTTCCATGTCTTGTTTTCTTTAACCTGCATGATACAGACTGTTGTTTTGTTGTCTTTGGTCTTAGATAAAAAAAAAGCATTGCAAATGAGACAAAAGTTTGTTTAACATTTTTTATGAATTAATCAAATTAATTTACAATTATCCACACAAAAAGACTGACACACTACTTAGAGAAAAGGTGTTGTTTTATGTTTTATTTGTTGTACTTCATTGACATCTTTGATTTTCATGCTCAAAAAGAATGTTGTCAAACTGCAACATCTAGTGGCGGTCTTGATATTGCCTAGATTGAAAACAATTGAAGAAAGACTTTTCCTTTATTGATTGATTCATTAATTGAGATTTGAACTTCTTCCCTTTGCTGAGGGCTGTTTGTATTTCATATTTAAGCAGTTTGTCTAGTTAATACTTAAATTGTTAGTGGTTGGTCTTGTCTTAAGGTTGTTTTAAAAAAATAAAACAACATCTGAATCTGTTCTTCAGGTGTCCATAGTTTTGCACAGTAAATATTGTTTTGGTGTTATTGTTTTTTGTTATAGAATATTAAGACTCGTTTTTAATGTTTCAAAATCAATATATAAATATATTTAGATTGAAACAGTAACATGGAGAAAAAAATCCACTTCTAAGAATATAAAAGCCTTTTTATCATAACAAACCATAGCTTTAATCAAATATTTAACATAAATATTGATTTAACATTGCAGTATCACATTTATAGTTTACAACAATGTAAACATTATTTTTTGTACACAAATACCACAGGCATGGATGCTTAAATGATCACATTGGTCTTCCTGCTTTCGATGTTTTAACAGTATCTATTGGAGCTAGTTCCAAGAGCATATCTCCTCTGTTGCTGACACTGGATTGCCTGCAAATGAGAAATATAAAATATTTAGAGGAAATTACAATTATTATGTTTTTAATTATCACATTTAAAACTAATTTAAAAAATTGAGATAGAAATCAGGTTAAACATTTTTTGTCAAATATGCTTAAAAGAAACCATTTAGAAAAATGTATCTAAACATATAAATAGTAGCAGAAATTGCAGTATAGAGGATAAGACATATACAGGAAATGCTGTTAGCTGAAAATAGTAACGGTTCAAAGAAGACGGCGGCAGAAAACACAAACAAGGCTTAGCCTAAAGACGGCTTGTTTTGATACAAAAATTGTTTAAATTAGTTAAAGAAGTAAAAGTCACAAATTATTTATATACAGAGAAAAAACAAACCGAAAGGAGGAAAAGTCAGCAAAATTGTATATTGAATAAACACATTTTAGTGGGTTTTTTTTTTTGTTTGTTTTTTTGTTTTGTTTTTTTTGCTCTGACCTGGATGAAGATGATGACGATGAGAACAAACATGACCAGTGTTGCCAGTACAACCACAGGAGGGCCGACTTGGAACTCTTGATCTATATCTCCATCTTCCTTATCCCTCAGGTGAAGCATGTGTCCTTGCTGTTCCTGAGCAGGACACTCTGGGCTTTCTGAGGGCAAAGGTAGAAGTATTTAGATCAGATTTTTCAGTCGTGGCTCAGTAAGTTCTTATTGTTCTAGTGGTTCTTATATTTACCTAAGACGTGAATGAGTGTTGCATTGCCAGTGAGCCTTAAGTATGGTGGTGGATACATGACCTCAATCTTACAGCGATACAAATCTGTGTGTATGGCCTGGAGTCCAGAGACTGTCAACTCAAGACCATCCTCAGTGACCACAGCAGAGCACTGCACATAAAATACACATTTGACCCTTATTTGAGTAAAAGTAAGGCTCCTGTCTCTCTAAAAACATCAACAACTTTATTGCAGCGTTAGTTCAACTTTAAGGGTAATTTCTTGTCTATCTATTGGCTGATTTTAGTTTAACAACTTCTTTTTTGGCATTTAATGCATTTTTCAATTATTAAAAACATTTTGAGACATTTGTTTCGATATTTATTATTTATGTATTATCTTTGCTTAAAGGGGTTCTACCATATGTTTTAGCATTATGACTTTAACACCATTTTTATCATTTTACTAGTAAATTAACAGAGAGCCACAAAAACATTTAGAGGGCAGCAGTGCAGTCTACAAAGTTGCTACAAAGTTTTACAAAAAAGCTGTTGAAAATATATTGACACACTCACTACAGTTACATACTATATAGTGACATGAACTCAACAATGTTTGTTTAACCTAAAATTGATTGATTTAAATTGATTGAAGATATCTGAATGATGAAAACAGGACGTGCCATTAAGCTGCTTTGCTGTTAACAAATTTAGTGAAATGTAAAATTGTTTAAACTCTTTCTCTTGAATTACCCCAATTCTCAACTACTGTATACAGTAATGCTCTGATTTCTCAGTGATGTTTTATTTTACAAAATTATGGCAAATCTGGTCCATGGTAGGGAGTCTGATGGCTCAGGAGCCACAGGTTGCAGACCTTGCCTATGAACTAACAGCAGCAAACTGATACAGATAATAAGTGTCTCCAGAACCCATATGTTGTATATTTATAGACTTACCTGTCCATGCTTTGCCATGTCAACCCATCTGTGATCTGTGAAGTTAAGAGTGTTGGAGCAAAACCTATGGGAGCTGTGGAGGCCCTTTATCAGAGTTACTCTGATTTCCTGTGGATTAGGGTAAGGGTATTTGAAGTTTTGGTTGGCAGAGGAATAAACGTCGTTGTAGGAAGGTTGAGGGTCAATGAGGCACTGGACCTTCGCTGTACCATTGACGGCCATCACCTTGTAGGGCTGGCTCACTTTTAATTCTAAGAGCAGAAAAAATTGTATAAATGGCACAAGTTAAGTTGATATTTTTAGTCTCCTTATTTATATATTTTCATGATTTTATTATTTAATTATTAACTTGCATTCAATTTAATAATTTTGCTATCAGTGTCATTTCACATAAATGTGTTAGAAAGTTAGGAATTAGCAGCATATTGTATTATGTGCATGTAACACATTAGCAAAATAATCTGATTGTTGTTAAACTAAAAAAAACATTGAATCAAATACAGGACAAAAACATTGTCAATACAATAAAATAATGAATGAACTCACTCACCACTCCACACAGGTAGGAAGAACATGTTCAGGACTGTTAACGCTATCCATCCCATCATATAGTGGATCAGATACATCTTTGACTCAGCCACTTACACACTACAGTCAACTCTGCAGGATCTCACCAAAATACTGCAAAATAAGTCATAAATCCTACCTTTATATTTAGTTAGTCATCTGCCTCTGATGTGATGGAAAGTGTCGTTTGTGAACACAGGAAGTGATGATGGAGTTCTGCCAGTAAGGCAAAGGCTGCAAATCTGCAGCAATGAATTCATTGTTGTTGATTGAAGTTGATTGAATTAAAACTGTTCAGCTTTTTTGCACAAATCAATGTCCTATTTTTTCTATTAGATAAACACATTTGTACAAAATAAACGCATACAAAAAGCAAATATCTATATATATCTTTTCACATTGCTGATTGGAAAATTCAACAGTGCCTACTGTATGAACAACAATAAACAAATTGAGAATTTTTCATCCACAAAAGAATCAAATGCTACAGATTATTTTTCCATTAAAAACAGTGCAGTGGAGACTAGATAGAAACAAAGATAACGAAAGATTTCAATATTCTGGCTCTTGACAATAGATTTACAATAGATTTAATGTAAAAAAAAAATACATTTATTAAATACATTCTGTTCCTATTGTCCCCTGCAGTTCTTTATTTACCAGGTGTAATATACTGTATATATTAATGTGTACTGTATGTAGTACAAGAACTTTTTTACAATTATTGTTTTCAAACGGCTATATTACATACTGTGTTGCAGCCCAGTCCTTGTTTCTTAGCTAAACATTCTAAAAATGTTTAGCTGGTATTCATGCATTTTCAAGCAAAAAAAAAAGATCATTTGGTGGGAAAAAGAAATAAAGAAGGGGATTCATTCTCCTTAAAATTTTCAATTTTTCAAATTTTAATATAATTTTCTTTTAAAAATGATAAGTGCATTAGGAGTTTGTCTTTAATGTGTGAACTACTAATGGGAATAAATAAATTACTGTATCATCTGCATAACATTTTACACATTGTCGGGAGAAATGATAAATATAATAAATAAATATAGTAAAATGTATCCAATTTGTATAGATAACAGCCATGTTTTTAATTATTTTTGTCTTTACCAAATCTAATTTAAACAGTGGGTCTATTATAAATTTTGAAAGTATACCTTCCTCCCCAAGTGTATTTTGTTGTTAGTGAGAACTATGGAAGAAGTTCTAACTAAATTGACACTAGGCAAAAATATATCAAAATGAAAGTGCTGATCTTGTATATTTCGGTGTCCTCCTGACGTCACATCTGTTTTGCCAGGAAACATATTGTGAGGTGTAGCCCCGTTCTCACAGAGTCACCGTCATTTCTAGAGTCAACACGGCAAACCACGGTTTGTTTCTGCTGTGTTTTTTTCACTGTGGTTCAGCATGAACTGCAAAAAGTTTAATCATTTGAAAATGAACAAATGCAAGGAAATGAAGTTGGACCACGGCGAAGGTTCAGAGCCATTGAAAAGTTGCGAACTGATTGACTGGAAACAGACAGGAATGGAAATTGGCAAGTGGAAATTGCCTGTTCACCAATCTTAGCGCTTTCATTTGTGGTTTTTCTTTAGCAGCTGGAAACATATTATGTCAGCTTCTTATTTGAACTAATTGAAAAAAACAGACGAGGGTGGAAACATAGTTTTGTCACAGTACATTATGAATATGGGGCATTCAGTTTAGAGAAGACAATTTTAATTAAAAAATATGCTAATTTTAGGATATGTTTAAACTATCACTTGTATTCAGATTTTAAGCCATCTTTGTATATTTTGTTAATTTTAGTTTTTTCTAGGCTTTTGTAATATATCCATTATATTTAAAGGTTCTGTTTAGTACTTTATTGCTATTATTGTTATTATTATCTGTCTTGTAGCTTCTAGCCCAACACCTGAGCTACTCTATAGCTATTTTTCAGTATTTATTCGGCTTTATCACACCTAACTCAAATACTTTTACTAATATTTTTGTTTATTCTTTATAATATTGGTATAATATAATAATATTTATGTATCTAATTTTTTTTTAACTTTTTTGGTTTGTTTGTTTCTAATGTTTTAAGGTTATGTAAGTGGAATTTTCAAACTATTTTCAACCATGAGGGGACGTCCCCTCGGATCTGTACGTATGTACATTCTGGAGTTCTAAGATTTTGTCTTAGTCTTTCATGGCAGTGGGAAAATGATATTTGTGTTTCACATTTCATATATTTAGACTTTAACCTCATTTCCGTGGTTAAGGCGTTAAACTATCAAGATATTCACATATACGCACGAAAAAACTGAAAAACCTTGAGGTTTAGGCAAAAACGTTGCTGCACCCACTCATTCCAATGAGTAACAGACAAATGGTGGAGTGTGGTTAAAGGTTTCTACTGCAGCTAGTATTCACCTATTTTGCACGTACACTTGTGATGTTTATTTAAACAGAAATTGCAATTGAAAAATTCTCCAAATATCACTTTTGTGTAATTGAAAATATTTTTTTACCAGCTGATTAAGAGCCAGTAACATTTTCTCCTGTTGGCACCATGGTTAAAGAATTATGTTTAACAAGATTTAATTGAGAATAAAATATAATACAAAAAGATTCATGATAGGTTCATAGGTTACAATTCTGATTTTAAATATCAATTAATCACCTTTTTTCTTCAGATGACAAAATAGTTTTTTTCTGAGAGTCGTCTTGGTAAAGCAAATACAACTTTACTACGTAGAAACTGTTATTAAGATTTAATTTATCTTTTTGTGTTGTATTCAGGACACGTTTACATTACAAAACCAGTTGTTTAATGAAGTACCAGAGTTGAACCAGCAGATGTCAGAATTTAGCAGGCTAAAAACGAAGATAAGATGATGGCGATGTATTCTTGGTAAAGCTATGCTTGTGAGGTCATTTCTGTTCATTACAAAACGAGATTTGGAGTTATCATTGGATTAACAGACCGATTAGAATTACGGTTAACATTTGTGACCTTGTTGGGAAAATAATTCTCATTAAAGCGTGTTCCTAACGAGACAAAGCCCATTTTGAGGGTCGTATTTTTTACAGTTGTAGTTTCTCAATTAGGTTAAGGTTGAAGTAGAGTCTTTGCAATAATTATTTGTTGTGCGTTCGTGTGGTAATGACCTCATCAGTCTCATTGGTTATTGTTGATATCTGGGTTGGGCAGAACAGGAAACAAGGCCCCGGAGCGCGCGGGGTATGGACGCGCGCTCCAGAGTTTTTTGGGATCCGGCGTTGAGCCACGGGGACGAATCAAGCTAGACTGCAGAATACCGGAAACGCGAAAGTGCTGTCTTGTCTTCACATTAAAAGTTTTAAAAGATTTTTTTGTCAGCTTTTTCTAATGAACTTGATTTTAAGAACTCCAAAGTATAATTTTTGAATTAAAATGGAATTAAAATTAAAGTCAATTTAAAATTGCCATGTCGATTTATTGTTTGCTGGTTTATTTAAATAAAAAGTATGGCTAGTCATATAGGAAGCATCGGAGGGGACTCATAATCCAAATGGTAGAAAATCAATCTATTTTTAAAAACCTTTTTTGTGCTAAGATAATTCCTAGCTTTAATAAAGAGAGCTCTTTATAAGGTGGTCATCACAGTGATAGATTTTACTCCGGGATTCAGGGAGTAGATGCTACTGAACCCATATATGATGGCAGGGTCCCACTACTGCACCACTCAAGCCTAAGCTTCCAAATTTTCCAAATTCCGATTCTAAACAATTTTTACATTTTCATTCAGCTTTTAATTTATCTTCCGCTTTTCAGGGTTTAAGGAGGAGCTGGAGCAAAACCCCCCACTTATTGCATGGGGACAGGGAACAGTCGATTCATTCAGTCCATTACAGGGTCAAACATAGGAACAAATAACATTTCACACCCAAATTAAAACCTAGGGTCATTTGAGAGAACCTGGAGAAAACCCACACCCAGCAACCCTGCCACACTGTTGGAGCGATATTTTATTTCGGGTAGCAATGGGGTGCTCTTATTTTGAAATACCCCATCGGAAGTGTTGTATTTGTCCCGTTCCTTTTTTAAGTCCAGTTTTCAGCCGTGTTGGGATTCAGTGTGGCAGTAGTGAGGGGACGGAAATCTGGGATAACTGGGTAAAGGGGAGTCGGTGAAATACTGGGACTAAACCGGCGGTAAATCCCCGTAGAGGGTCGGCCATCACACCGCGGACTCAACCGGTGGACACCTATCCTGTGCGCCGCCACTGCTGTTACCGCTGGCTGCGCTTTTTTACCCACCAGGATCCGCACAGTGAGTAGATCCGTATCCCCCCTTCACCTCACCTTAACGCATCCCTGTGGCACCATAATCAACCCAGATCACTGTCCACAGCTGTCTGCAGCGATGTATGAAAGGCTTGTAATTCTACAAAGCTGCATACACCTTTGAATGTGTATGTATGTGTGTGTGTGTAAGGGAGAGAGAGAGCGCTGTTTCTTTAATTAAGATCCACTGGAATAAAAGCCAATTAAAGCCGTTAGCTGCTGCATGTGTGTGTGCAGAGAAAGAGGAGGGGGAGGAGGGGAGATGGTGGTGGTGGACGAGGCTGCAATGACAGAGAAAAACGACTCCACAGATAAAATGCCTTCTCCTTATGCAGCAGTCGGTTTAATGCACCAGAGTATCGGCTGTATGCACGTATTTGCCTGTGGTAGATGTGCACAGCTTCAGTACATGCTGCTGGTTTCTGTCCTGTAAACGCCGGTGTTGAATGGACATAAATCATGTCGGTGCTGCTCTAAACGCCGCAGGGCCTGTGCAGAGTCAGCTGCATGCGCAGGTTTCCCCAAAGCTGCAGCCGCACAGGCCGGATGATACAGACAGACTAAAACGCGGACTGCCCCATGATATCCAGCCGGAACATTTGCGTTGGCTACTGCTACAGCTCGGAGGCCAGGCTGGCGTACCGAGCTGACACCATCCAGCAAGGCGTGGCATTCATCTAACATTACAGAGTCTGTGGGTGTGTACTCCCTCCCCCCCCCCAGCTGCCACACAGCAAAGCCTACCAATAGAAATGCATGCGTTCGTCACAGTCATTCACTCATTAAATTTGTATCCGCAGTCTGTTCTACTTTGTTTAATTTCATTTTGTTTGCCAATCACAGTTTGACGTCACATCAAGGTTATATATGTTCGAGTTAGTGACATCTAGTGGTGTCTCTGCAAAATATAAATAACTGAAGACCTCTTGGCATCACAAAAACAATTAAACTTTCTTTCAACAACTTGTCATAAATATTTTATTTTGGTGAGCAAATGCTGAAAAGCACAGGTTGTGGTTATGAAGAAGTACTCAGGTGGCAGTTAGTTACAGTGTAGTCTGTTTCTCTTGT